GAACATCACCAAAATTTAAAGATGTGTTCCTTGGCCCAGTACACACATGTGGTAAAAATGTCGTGACAATCTGTCCACAAATTTTTGAGTAACGTTGTCCACAGACAGAACGACATACGCRACCGAAAACATTATCTCGCCCTTGGTGGAGCTAACAAACGTTAGAACTTTAAGAGCATTGTTTACTTATTTTGTCATGTAGRGTGTTATAACTGCACATTTATGAATTGATATACTATGATACTAATGTTTTATTAGGTGTATGTAATTGTTTTTTAATGYTTGTTTTGCTTTTTTTAAGGACCCCAGGATGAGTAGCCATTGTTATGGCAATGGTTAATGGGGATCCAAATAAAATAAATAAATAATTAAATAAAACGTGGYGAAATGACGTATGTATATGACTGTGTCAGTAAAATATCTCAGGAACCACTGAACAGGAAGCAGAAAGCTGGACGCTGCAGCTTTTACAGACGCGGAGCTAAAGCTGGGCGTGCTCCCACACAGATTAGCATTAGGATTAGCCCCGCCTCCCTCAGCTGTGGTGAGATTGTATTGTAAGTGAGGCAGCAGCGGCTCACAGTCGATGTTGTTCTGTAGRACCCGGATGCACTGCTGGTACAGACTCATCATCTTGGGCAGGTAGGAGGTCTTGGACCCCGAATAAACCATCATCTTGGAGTTGAACCTCTTCCCGGTGAACCCCGCATCCTCCTCGTCGTTGCTCACCAGAACTGAGAGMAAAACATAAAAAAAAACATAGAATCAGAACTGGAAACAAAAAACAAAAGAAATCTGAACATAAAGAGTTTTCACCTTTGCGTCTCTGAGGGGAGAGCGGCGTTTCGATGGAGGGTAGGGGCCTGTAGTTGGGCTGGATGGCTGGCAGGGGGATGTCAGGCAGGGTGGGGAGAGCTTCAACCACCTGAGATACAAAAAAAAATGATGAAGATGAGGAGTGAAACAGAATTTAAAGCTCGGAGGATTCTCTCACACTCACCCTCCTGCGTTTCTCCGATTTCGGTTCTGCTGACGAGGAACCCGAGTCCGAGCGAGGCCTCCTGCTGCTCTGGGCGTTGCTTCTCTTGCTGGGTTTGGATGAAGAGGAGGGGGTGGGCGGAGCCACGGGGGTCTGACGGGAGGAGGAGGAGGAGGACTGAGACGGTCGGGCGTGAGACGACGAAGGCTGCGACTGTTTCTTCTTCTTCTTCACCGGTGTGGGAGCGTCGTACGTCAGGAAGGACTCGAAGGACATGGTGGGCGTCTCGAAGTCCTCCTCCTCCTTCGGCGGGGAGTCTTTGGGAGCTCGTGGTCGTCCTGAAGCAGCAGAGACAAAAATATTMAACTGATTTATACATTTTATTTGTGTTAAATCTGATGATATTATGGAGAAATTTATTTCAGGCAGTTTTGATTTTGAATCCAGATTTTTTTTATGTCTAATTAAACTGTTTGTTTAAGGGATCCACGATTAGTTGTAACATTAGACTTTATTTGATAAACATATATTTTAACTGTAAAGAAAGACTGTAAAAATACTGTAGGATGTTCAGTTGTTATAATTTTTAAACAAGATTTTTAAAAATATATTTTAACACAAACAGCCATTTTATTTAGGGCTGCAACGATACAGACAATTCACGATTCGGTTCAATACTTTAGTCTCAC